GTGCAGAACTGCCTCATCCTCTCCGTCCCTTGGGAACACTTTGTCCCTCAGCCAGCACTTCCTAACTCCTCTTATGTCTCTCCAATCCCTGTCGAAGGTTCAGATCCCCGTTCAGTTTTCCCTGCCTGAACCAGTCCCATGTCTGCTGACCATATTTTCCTTCTTTTCTTCACCCCTCCGGGCCTGTCTCCCTCTTTCTTGGGCACACGTGAGTGCGTTGGGACACAACCCTCATCTCCCATTGTTTGGGAATGCATTCCCACGGATAACAATCTCCTAAATGCTGCTGAGGTGTCTCCGTGGCTCTTGGGACATGGCACTGCTCAGAGGGCATTTCCAGAGGCACCTTCGGGTGTCCATGGATGTCCTGAGTGATTCCAGGAGGAATTACAATAGGACTCTGTAACTGGTCCATACTGGGATGGTGACTGCAGGGCTGGGTGATGGACCCACCACACCAGTCTCGGGGGGTTGGTGGCCTTCAAAGACCCATTTAGAACCACTCCACGATTCAAACTTCTGAGATTCCAACCCTGGATGATGAGGAGACTCCCCCAGACCCCAGCTCTGCTCCAGAACCTCCATCCCATGGGATGATCCCACTGGGCCATACCATTTTCGTCCTCGATCTCCGTGGGGCCGGTGAAGACCCTGTTGGCAACTTTCACTCTTCCCCCTGGCCCGAAGTGCGGCCCATCCACTTTTCCCTCTTTGCACAGCTTGGACAGGATTTGGGAAGGCTTCATGGGATCACGCCAGGTGTTGTACCCGTGGCTGGGAACAGGAGAGCAAGATCAGCCAAAAAAGGTAGCTAGGACAAAGGAAACTTTCTCCCTTTTAGCCAGAAAAAAACCCCCACTGCACCATGAAGCACCCAGAATTCCCAGGGAAAGAATTTGAGGCAGCAAAGGTAAAACTTCAGCTCAGATTTGAACCCTCTGTGCCCTTTTCAAACACCATTCACCCCACTTTGGCTCAGACCTGGAATTCCCAGTGCATCCCACTTGATTCCTGATGCTCGGCATCACCCCGTTTGCTCCCATTTCATCACTGACCTCACCACTCCTCCCAGTCCCACCAGTCCCTCCCCCCGGCCCCGGGCTCCTGATGACCCATCCCACCACTCCCAAGTGCTGATGACAAAACCAGGGACAGCACAACCTCCTCCATTCACCCCTGCCCCTGGCGGGATTGGACGGCGTGAGGTGTTTCCCAAAACAAAGAATTCCAGGATCAGCAGGCAGCGATGGGGGGAGATTCCTGCGGGAGCTCTGGGTGGGAGGTGACACAGAGGAGGGTCCAGGTGGGAGGTGGGACAGGGAAGGGTTTCCCCATACATGGAGTAGGTCTGGGACACGCCGCAGGTCGCCCGGTGCTTGCTGTAGAAGCGATTCTCCAGGTCGATCTTGGTCTCCCCGATCAGGTCGTCAGTGCCCACCAAGTCCCAGTCGTACACAGCCACGGTCAGCATGGACTCCATGGGGAAAGTGGCCTCGATGTCGAAGGATCTGGGATTGGGGGAAGCAGAGAAAAGCTGCTCCGGGGTCTGGCTGCCACTCAGGACAGGTCCAGCCCATGGATGGACTGCAACTTAATCAAAAACCCAAAGTTGTGTCTCACTGTGTTTTAGTAAGAATTAAGAAGAAGAACGTTCTAAAAAGTCTTCATCCTAAATTCTGTGTATTCTTTTTATTGTAGTTATAAAATAATAAAGTTTTCTCCCCTACTTTTAAGCTCAGGCCTGCTCTACTCTGTTCCTGATCACATCTCACAGCATTCAGTTGAAGAAAGAACGTTTTCACAAGAACGCCAGAATTGCACCAATATCAAACCATAACAAGTCTGCATCCATCACTGCAGGACGTCTGAGGTGGGGTTTAACTCAACCACCAGCACCTGACAGGAGGGAAAATCCTTGACCTGGACATCCCAACACCCCTAAAGCCGAGTTTGTGTCTTATTCTCACTCAAATTTATGTCGAATGGTTCCTAAGCGGGTGTTTCACCTTGATCAGATCCGTTTCAGGTTCATCTCTTAAACACACAGTGCCACATTGACCAAACGCTGGCAAAAGAGGACATCCTGGAAGGATCCCAGCCTGTGGGACCAATCCCACCATTCCAGCTCAAGGAGCAGCCGTGGGACACCTCAGCTGCAGGTCTGAGGGCTGGCAAGCTCAGGCTCAGCTCGGCAGTTCCGGGCACAGACTTACTTCCCAAAAACAGGGTTTAGCTGCTTGGAGATGTAGTTCTCCTTGTCCTTGATGTCCGTCTTGCCCAGCTTGATGGCGATGTAGGGATCGGCTTTCCCGTTGATGTCGGCCGGGTGGAGGTCCGTGGCCTGCAGGGAGCAGACGGGATGGGTCAGCGTTGTCCTCAGCAGCCAAGGACTCAGGGGTGGGCCAGTTCTCCACCCCTGAGAAGGGATGGACCGGTTCTCCATCCCTGAGAAGGGATGGGATGGTTCTCCATCCCTGAGAAGGGATGGGTCAGTTCTCCACCCCTGAGAAGGTTGGGATGGTTCTCCATCCCTGAGAAGGGATGGGATGGTTCTCCACCCCTGAGAAGGTTGGGATGGTTCTCCATCCCTGAGAACACCTTTAGGGAGGGCCAGATCCCGCTGCCGCACCCCAAATTCCCACTCACCCGCACGATGTAGACTCGGACCAGCACGTTGATGGGGTCGTTGCTGGGGATCCCCTGGAACATCCCGAAGGTGGGCTCATATCCTGCCTCCTTGCTGATGTCATCGGGGAGCGGCACTTTGTAGACGCACATGGAGCCCTGGTGCGAGGGAGGGCATGGCCCGACTGAGTCCTGCTGCCCAGGGCCTCCGGGCAGACAAACCCATCCCAAAACACCCTCCCCAAAATCCTGGCCGGCATTCCTAAGCACTCACTTTGAACCTCCCCACTATCCGCTCCTCCTCCGTGGCGTTGTCGTCGTTGTCCCCAATCTTCCCCCGGAGCAGGTTGAAGGTGTGCAGCCAATCCTCAAAGTTGTCAAACTCCGTTTCCAGCTCTTTGTTGAAGACCTGAGATGAAAAAAAAATTTAAAAGGAGGGAATTTGGGATAAAAAGAAAGGCGAGCAAAAGATGTGGTGGGTACTCAATCAGACCGGAAGGAACGAGGGAAAGGATAAGAGGAGCCCCAAGCTGTGCCAGGAAGGTTCAGATCGGATATCAGGAATAATTTCCTTGTGGAAAGGGAGCTCAGGCCTTGGCAGGGGCTGCCCAGGGAGGGTCGGAGTGCCCATCCCTGGAGGTATCCAGGGAATTCCTGGATGTGGCACTCAGAGCTCTGGGCTGGGGACAAGGTGGGGATTGGGCACAGCTGGACTGGATGGGCTGGGAGGGATTGTCCAGCCTCAGGGATTCTGAGATTCTGTGAACATGGACACCTCAGCTCCCAGTGGTTAATTTTTCTAGGAAGGAGAAGAATCCTCCAGCATTATTGGGTTGGGAACAGGGAATCTTGGAGCATTGGGTGGGGCCGTTGTTCCCCCTCTGTGCAAGATCCAGGTCTAAACCCCATCTGAACCCCAGAACAACAGACGACATGAATCCTGAGAAATCCTGGGATCACTGAACCAGAGTCCACCCCTGTCCTCAATCCTGGCTGCGCCAGCCATATTCAGGCAAGAAAACTCTCCCTTGGAGCTGGGACACCTCCAAGCTGCCCCAGGATGAGCCAATCCCAGGACAACCCCTTTTCTAGTGACCTCAGACTCCTTCCAGCCATAGAGAGAGGCTGGGAAGCCTCATCCCAAGATAAATCCCTAGGAGAGATGTCCCAAGGCACATCATCCCCATGATTGAGAACTTCCTTGGAAGCATCCCCCCCCCGCCCCGTACCTTGAGCTCATCGATCTTCTGCTTGTTCTTCTTCTCGGGGAGCTCAGGGACAGGCTGCTGCTTCTTCTTCTTGTCATCTTTGGGTGCCTTGGACTTGTCCTTGTCCTTGTTCTTCACCTGGGCCTTGGAGCCTTGCATGGGAGAGTCACCAAGTTTGGCATCACTCCGAGTCCAGGGGGAAGCAGTGCAGAGGGAGGACAGGGAAAGGAGGGAGGGAGGATGGAGGGAAGGGAAATGAGGGTGAGAAGAGGTGGGGAAGACCCAGCAGGGCTTGGACAAGGTCCTTCAAAAAGAGGAGCATGAAAGCTGCCAGCTGCCTGCAGGTCCCATCTCATCCCAGCTGTGTCCTGTCTTTCCTTGGCTCTGGATCGCAGTGTCTCCAGAAGCCTGGAGATCTCTGTGTAGGGAATTCCAGGACTGACCTGAGCAGGAATCACTTGGAGGACTACAAAACATGGACAGAGCACTCTGACAGCGGTGAGAAAACCTGGTCCTGCCCACAGGAGGAATGGTGTGGCCAGCAGGAGCAGGGAGGTCATTCTGTCCCTGTGCTGGGCACTGGTGAGGTCACCTCATGGGCTGTGTCCAGTTCTGGCCCCTCAGGTTGGGAAGGACGCTGGGATTTGTCCAGAGGGGACAA